TAAAGTTGAGTGGGGCAGCCAGCATGGCCGGAGCCAGGTCAAGTCAGAGACGGTGCAGGAAAACAGACCCCCCAAATCAATCATTCAGCAGTTTTTTACCCCAGGCTTCCCAGGGCTCCAGTCTTAATGGACCCATAGTCTGATCCAGTATGGCAAATCCTGTGTTCCTGAAGTCTTTCATCCTTCTCGCTCCTTTTTCCCTTGCTCTCCTAAAAACTTACAAATGGGATTTCATTTTTGCTTAATTAGGAGGTATGTCGAGGCCCTTCTCCCGGGTTCTAGAGAGTTACTTTCCACTCTGATGAACACTGGCTTCAAATGACACAAATGATGAGCTGTTAAGAGCACTGTGGCAATCAAGACTCCTTTGATGGCAAAGCTAAAAATACGCTTCTCCAGCTGACGCAGCCTAAAAGATGAGAACGTACCGGTTGGTTTCAAAGAATACATCTCTTTCTACGTGACTTCATCTAAGATAAGTACAGGGGACACTGTCAGGGGGGTGGGTGCGTTAAAAGGTTATTTCTGTCTTCCGAGAAAAAGCATTAATATAGCAGCTATTTCAAAATCTGACCCTAGCTATACTGTGCTGTAAGTACTCGTTCTTACCGCACATCAGAAATGAGGATAATAAGCAGGGGCCTGGTCATTCTCACACTTCTTCCAGTCACCAGTGACTCTTGACGGTGGCGTACAAGCCCCAGAGGTATGAAAACAGCACTGCCCACCACCCTGATCCACCGGGACACTGTCGTCCTCCACCAGCAAACCTGCCTTCCACTTCCTACCTTTGCTGGTAATCAGACAACCGTCCCCTGTTCCCTGTCACATCGTCACCGCTGCTGCCCTGGCTCCCACAACACAACTTCTCACCACATCCTGGCCTAGACCAGGCAGTCCAGGCAAGCGTCGTAGACTGACGTCTACGTCAGCGTCTAGGACAAAGCATGGTTCTCTCCAGGGAGTCACAGGCTAGGGATGAATGCATAAGGCTCTCGGGTAAGAGAGAGAAAGAAGAGCTTTATACACCAGAGAAAGGAATATACAACCCATTTAAAGTGCACCGATCTCCACTGATCCCACACTGGCTCTGGATCTTATTTCTGTGAACCCCGGTAAATAATCCAGGCCACTGAATGGGAGCCTTCTCGCAGCCCAGGGTGACAGTGAATAGCCTCACCCGGTCACCGGGAGCATCCTTCGCTCAACTCGCTTTCTGGACTTATGTACAAGTAAGCTTCTGACGCCGCGAACTCAGAGGCGGGACCACCGAGCACTTTCATTAGGCAGAACAGACAGTCCTCCAGGCTTACGGTTTCGATAGATACATTCGGCGCTTCCAGTTGCTCCAGTTTGGGGCTTTCCCGGCAAAAGGCATCTGCTCCACTCGGCCTCTGCCCCTGTGAACAGGGGGTGTCTCACCTCTACACCTCTGTCGGCAGCTTCGCATTGCCTGCAGAGTTCTTGAGGCTCCCGTTGACTGTGGTCACCCTAAAAGTGAAAGACCGTCCTCGGAGCGAACCGTCCGTGTAGAAGGTCTCGGGCTTGTTCTGGCAGCTGAAGAACAGGAGGAACCCATTCCGGTAGTTCTTGTTCATCCAGCCGTAGAGCAGGGGGTTGACGAAGGTGGAGCACATGGCCACCACGTGGAAAATGGTGTACAGGAGCTTGTACTCATGGAAGATGAGAACCAAATCCAGGTCAATGGCAAGCTGGAATACGTGGAAGGGAAGCCAGCAGACCGCAAACACCACAACCACCACGACGAGCATTTTGGTGGTCTTCTTCCTCCGGCACTGGCTTTCGCTCCTGGAGGTGGGGCTGATATGGCTTTTCAGCTTGAACCATATCCTGATGTAGGCATAGCAGATGATGCTGAGTGGGAGGACGTACTGCAGGAGGAGCATGGAAAGGCTGTAAATGGTAGCGTCTCTGTTATTCCCAGAAGGCCACTTTTCAGAGCAGACGGCTATTTTGAGGTTGATGGATGGGATTTCCTCATACCGGTACTCTCTGAAGATGGCCAGCGGGCCAGCCAAGATGGCAGCCGCAAGCCACATGATGGCTATGATCGTGAAACTGAGCTTCTTGGAGATGCGGCTGTCCAGGTGGAAAACAATGCATCTGTACCTGTCCAGAGCAATCACGGTCAAGGTGAGAGTGGACACGTGGACACTCAGTGCTTGAGCGTAAGGGACTAAGTGACAAAGAATTGCCCCGAACTTCCACTCATCCAACAGGGTGTAAACCAGGGTGAAAGGCAGGCAGAGGGTGTCCACCATGAGGTCGGCCAGGGCCAAGTTGGCTATGAAGAAGTTGGTCACGGTCCTCATGGTTTTGTATTTCACGATGGTGTAGATTACTAAGGAGTTGCCAATGAACCCCAGCAGGATGATCAAAGAGTAGGCTGCAATCAGGATCACCTGGACTCCCACGATCTTGGTGCTGTCCATCATGACGTTGCCGGACCCATAGAGACCCGGGCTAGGAGTGACCAGGCTGTTGGACTGGTCCAGGATGAGCTGCTCCTCCAGGACGAGCTGCTCCATGATGAGGGTGCTGTTGGGTTCCTCCACGGGCCCCATGCCTGGTTTGTGCCCTTCAGCCGGGAAGAGGAAGGCAGCGCTGTCGCCTGTGGGATGCAGAGAGGGTACAAATGAGACGGGGCAGATGGCAGAGCAGCTTCCAGGGCTCAGGCTCAACGCAGCGGGTCCAGGGTGGCATTTCAGACAGGCAGTGGCAGTGCCCCCGGCTGCTCCCCACCCCATGACTTCCCTCCCATTACAGTGATAAGCTCATGTTTTCCATACAACACTCAGATGGAAATGTCAACCCCTCCACCACATCTCATTTTCAACACACGATGAAAGTGATGCCAGCCCAGCGAGAAAAGGACAGTGCCCACTTGGTTCCTCGCACGAGGCTTTTCGGGTCTTGCTTATTTAATTTGGAGGGTTAAAAGAAATGGCCTCCAAATGCCATGTGGTTCAGTCGAGGGGGAGCTTGCGCTCACACAGTGCCACCGGAGTGCCCTCTGCCACCATGGGTCTCTCAGACCATTGCTGTGCTTTGCAGAAGGTCAAATGAGCTCAGGGAGGATGGTGGGGAGCATCAAAAATAATGTCACCCCGTTGGAGGCAAAGAGTCGGTCTCCTGCCTGCCGTTCTGGCTAGGAGACGCTGTGCCGGGCTCTGCTTCCTTTGCTCTCTCTGTCTTTTTGCCTCTCTCCCCCTGCGGCACTTCTCCTGGCTCCTCTCCCTCGCATCCTCACAAATGCACTCCAGGACTGGCAGGCCGAAGAGCAAGCACCGGAGGCCTTGCCTACCATAGGGAAGCAGGAGACTAAGGGCTCACAAAATACTAAATAGTGAAGAGAAAGTCACTAGGGATTTCTTATTGATGGTTTCCCACCAGACAAGAATGAGGGGTCACAAAATGACCTCCCAGGTTGGTCGTAAGTGTAAAACGAGCACAAGGAAGTTTGGTTTCACACAGCATGTCATTAAAGGGAGGAACTCTGCCACAGGACGAGGTGGGAGATGAGAGTTTAGCTGCATTCAAAAAGGGATCGGCCACATGCTTGGAGGAAAGGGGCATCACTCGCTATTAAGGGTGGGGATGAGGAGCGCCGCCTCTGAATCAGAACCTCCTAGACCTTAAATGTTGGAGGCTGCAAGTGAGAGAAAGGAAAATACCGGGGTTGTGCCCTATTCACTCTCCCTTTCAGCACCTGCTCTCTGCCGCTGTGTGACACAGGCAATTAAGCAAGACAGACCTATGGTCTGACTCTGTAAAGGGCAGTTCTGATGATCTGAGTAGGGCTGGATGGAGCAGGGAGGCCTAATTACGCTACCACCCCCACCATCCTCCCAGCTGGGGATGCTGAAGCCGGGCAATTCAGGTTGTAGCTCTGCCAGTGCAGGTTCAGCCTCACCCTGTACCCCCATGGAGCATGGATCAACTTGTGCAAGTGCATGCATGTGCCGTGGCATGGGAGCAAATGCCCACGTGTGAGCAAGCTTCTGCCAGGGCTGTGCATGAGCCTGGCCATCCAGGCACAAACAGATACCCAAGCATCATACCTGAGAACACAAGTGCCAACACGGATCGCCCACTCCCGGCATGGCACGTGTGGTCAGCCATCCCTGTGCAAACATGCCTTTGGCAGCATAGTTTCATAGTTTCATAGATTAAGGGTCGGAAG